AAACAAATCCAGTTATAACAATGAAATGAGATTTGTACAGTGAACATCCCAAGCAATGCGAAGCAGCGTTTGAACACTTCCTACTGAAAATACGATTCCGCATAAATTTGAGTAAGCTTTTAGTTGAACTGATCTGGCTGCTAGAATCCAATTTTTATCCTCTTATTCTTCCGATATTTGGATCATTCAAAAGATGTAATAAAAGATAAATAAAGATTAATAAAAGATAGATAAAGATTAATAAAAGATGTAATACTGCAAGACTTTCTTCTGAAACTGAGAATAGCAAATTAGCAAAAAAAAAGCATCGAGAAAGTTTATTATTTCACGATTAAATATACGTTACCTATGAGAACACGGGTGGTAATGAGCTGCATTTTAGGGTGATGTTTTGGATTTAGGCTCTGTCCAGTTACCAGTTCATATGATATTTTGAGCTATAAGTTATTTACCATGACCATTCTTAAATTATTATTGTACTGATGTTACAACTCGCTATCGCTTTCATTTAAAGAGATTAACGGAAGTTTATTGCTCCAGATTGCAACCCCTGCAAACTAATGTAACAAAATCACCAAACTCCATGTTGAAATGAGTCTGTGCTCACCTCTCGTTTTGGTTGAGGAGCCATAATTGGTTTAGATAATGCTGCAAATGTGGAGAGCACATCCATGCTACCAGGACTTAGGATGTTCGCCCAAAACAATGACATCGTATCTGGGTCGACAACGCTTAACCACGGGGCTGTGCTGAAAAAGAGATAAGAGATAGCTGTGAAATGTATCTGTCAAATCGCTTTGAGATTTGAATACCATACTTATCGGAAACAGCACATTATAGTGGATGCCAATATCAAAGCTTTTTTTCAATAGTTTCAACTGTGCAGTACTTTCCTTCAGGTTTCAAAATGAAAAGGACCACTTTTATATGATTAAGTTAAAATAGGTACATTTGTCATAACATTTGTTTTGAAAAAACGTGCCACCAAGTAGTAATAACGATACTGAAGGCTAAACAACTATGACACGGCTGAATCCGCCAATTTCTCTGCGTTCTGCGGAAATGACAATAAAACAAAAGAAGTTCAAGTACCTGGTGTTGCTAATGCACTGCAAACTCGTATTTTGGATTACTTGAACTGTAAACCAATTGATATTACTTTCATTAGTATTTTTGATAGCAGATGCATGAGATGTGCAAAATCTCTTTTATTTAGAATAGCAAACCGGAGCTCGTGCTAGATACAGAAGTTTTGCTTTTTTAGCCATTTAGGAAAACTTTTACAGATCTTGATCCACAATCGATGATATAGAAATTAATGCCAAAGTTCAGCAACAGGAATGGTCTAACGTCCCAGTACAAATTACAGGAAAAAAAAGGTTGGGTTGTCAGACGCAATATTTTGGTAATCAGCTCTATTAAAAAATTCGCGCAGCGTTTGGTTGCACAGAACAGAACCATTGCTACCAATTAGATAAAAGTACAACAGTTTCTTCTCTTTACGAACAAATTTTCTCCCATCCTCATTTGCCTCCCTGATTGGTCAAGCTTAGGCTAAGTGATCAGGTGATTAAATGGCAGGAATAGGTGGAGCGACAAATCGTTACATGAGGGCCTTCAGATGTGATCTTGATCACCTATTGAGAGTTCGAGGGATTTATGGAATAGAATTCTCTCAAATTTTCAAGTTTTTGTAGATGGTACTGAGAAAATACAAAGCGACATACATTCCATTAAGTAGATTAGCCTGAAGCAGAGAATTTGGCACTTCGTTCACGGGTTTTGGCTGAGGAGGTACAGCTGCCGTCTGACGAAACGGAGATTCGGGTTTCACCATTGAAAGACCATTGTTGAATAGAGGCAGGCCGGCATCACATGGCTGTCAAAGAACTAATTTTATTCTAACTCTAGTGGTAGAAAACTTTGACACAACTGTAAACCAGTTAGAATCTTGCTTTATATATTCCATGATTTATGGTTTTACTTAGTAGAACTCACAAATCCATGAGTTTAGTTAAGAGTCAGATTATACTATGTATTAAATTATAAAAATAAATTCTCTTTTCACTCCTGA